ATTAATAGATTAATAAAGCAAGAATTTTTCTGAAAAAATTGAAATATTTAAAATATTCTATTTCTCCCTCAAATATTCCTTCCTTGGCAAGTCTCTCTTATTGCTTCTATTGTTATTTGTATAAAAATCAATCGTTAAATAAGAATTATCAGTGGAACATTTTTACTGATAAATAAAGTATCGTCTCTATATTAAAAATAATGTTAAACGATAATATAATTTACCAAGAATATTATAAAAAAAAGGGGGGGGGGGATTAAATTTCTTTTTATCAGACTTTCTGATGATAGAAACCTGATGATAGTCTCATTAAAAAACTTCTCTGATAAAAAGAATCCTCATCATGCTTAAAGAAGTAATGAAACAAATAGTTGCTCCCAATCTAAAGACTCTGAAAGTAATGAAACAACATGGAAGTAACAGGTATTTAATAAACGATAAAGGTATACTTCAATATTATTAATACTGCAACTTATAATCTGAACTTATTGCACGAAATGATATTATCTTAAATATAATAAATTATGATTTAAGATACAATCTACAAAATTATAAGTTATCCCCTTTTTTTCATTTCCGACGAATAATAAAAAATATTTTCCTTGCTTTGAGAATCAATGCTTATATCGTTGCTTAAATTTTCTAATATATACGCAGTAAGTGTTAAAAATGTAAATTTTATTCAGTAATTATTCGGTTTATTCCAACGTAACATGCTTGTAAAAAACTTATATGGACGGAGTTAGAGAGTGCTTGTTCTTACGTTTGTTTTGAATATTGAACGCAGCTTATGAAATGGTAAAGTATATCTTTCCCAATTTTTCCTTTGTTTATTGAATAAAATCCACAAAAAAATAAAATGGATAGCTCCTTCATCAAAAATAACGTACAATTGTTGGTTTCGAAAATATCGGATATCTTCTTCTATCTTAATTTCTTCTGTAATTTCGTCAAAACGTTCTTGAATGAAAAGTGTTCGCCATTAAACGTATCGAACGATCTACGCGTTAAATTAAATTGAATATAAAAAAATTCTAATTTTTAAATTAATATCAATTATCGATACTGAATTAAAATTTATTTTTTCCAGTAACTCCAGAGAGCATTATCATCCCGATAGTATCATGCATACTCGGATTTCCGTTACTGGCCCTTATGGTCATCTGTTGCTTAAGAAGAAGAGCAAAGTTGGCGAGGGAGCGTGCACGAAGAAGAAATTGTGATCTAGATCACGGGGCCCTTAGCCTCGTTCGTTTTAGCCCCGTTCACCGTTTAGGTAAATTAAACATCTTCTTCATCGTTACTTTTTATTTCGAAATCGTACGCGTTACCTAGAAGAAGAAAAAAAAATGCAATTTATTTAAATTATTCCATCATGTTAACGCACTACTATCAGATTTAACGTTAAACTTGTATATAAACTTGAAAGCCCTGTTTTCCTACGTTATACGTTTTGTAACGAAAACGGATTGAGGTCACAAAACATTTGTGTTCAACCCCAAACCGCTACTTCCGCTCGCTTTTTCACCTAGAAACGCTGCACTGTACTTACACGTGTACGTCCAAATATACACTTGCGTACGTATATATATATATGTATGCACAGTCGTATACCTTTGTGTACGCGTACATGGACACATGCATATTCAGGCATATGGATGAACAGCCTAGGTTATATGTATAAATATAAAGAGAACGGAAGAGGCATTAAACCAGATTGAATGGTGGCCTGAATATTTCATACACCGATTTCGAGATACTTCAAGTGCAGATGTCGTGTTCACAAGATTACTTTTTCCCAATGAAAACGTTTAATCTGTAACAAAGTATCGAAGAGAAATTAAACGATCGAAATATAGATTTTTTTATTGGTTTTTCATAACTCTTAATTGCCCTTTCTATTTGAATTATTGATTCAATGCTTTTTTTTTTTTAATTTGTACAACATATATGTATATAAATATAAAAAGAGAAAATTTGATTTACGTATAAGACGAGATAAAGAATAAACCCAATTATTGGTTTATGGGTTTTCTTTTCATCGCGAATGCATCGAGCTCGAACAAATTCATATGTTATATTATTACAGTCAATAAAAATTTTAATCACTTATCTTCGAAGGTAATATTAAACACGAAGTAATTATGAACATTATTATTATTTTTTTTTTTAAATCCATAATCTATGCTTATACTTCATAATTTTGTAAATAAAAATCTCATCATTTATTTAATATTATAAATCTTCTGAGCAAAAAATATGATCCTAGAGTTTTAACACTGTCTTTTCTATAATATAATCGATAAACAATTGCATCATTTGTAATACAATTAAATATCGTGTAACACATAATTATATATATTATCTGTATTTGTAAATTTCATATTCGTATTGATTGCAATTGTATAATATTGATTTCTAAAGTTTCATCGTGAAAATGGTTGTTGCATATTGAAAACCTATATCCCAATCACGAGTTTCAAATAAATTCTTTTCGTTTCGTTAGGAAAAAAAAAAAAAAAAAATATCGATAAGAAAAATTAAATTTAAAAGTAAAATTTGTATTGAAAAATGCTATTATACGATTATAAATGAAAAAATATTATTAAAGAATAATAATAATAATAAGCAAGCGAAGAAATTATTATGCAAATTAATTGTTTAATTATGCATATTACTTTACTTACTTATTTAATTTGTATATCTTGCGCATACACTTCAACAATCTATTTAATTATTCTCCTATGAATTATCTATTTAATTATGCTACTAATTGAAAATGATTTAAGTAATGAGATTTAATTTAACTATCTATTAAATTTTTAAATTCATCTAATATAAAAATTTAATATTGTATGGAATATTTTCTATTTTTTAAAAGTTTGAGGATATTCTATATCTTAAAATAATATACACTTAAATCTTTTTTTATACGTGTAAAAAATTGTATAAAAATAAATAAAACGTTAATCAGTAAAAAAAAAAAAAAGACCAGATATACTCTTTTGCCTTTGAAAAAAATATGAAACAATATAATTTACTTAAAATTTGATATACATAAGAAATTCCTTTAAATTTCTATTTAAAAATAATGAAACATTAATGAAAATATGAAGATATTATATAGTACATCTATTCTGTATCTCAACTGTTTGAAATTGACAATAAATGCGATTCTGTAAGTGTAATGAATCACGTTTTGTTACTTAATTTAACTCTAAAATGTAACAAATGAACATATTATAATTATTAGAGGACAAAAATTTCAATGAAAACAGATATCAGACGAAGATATGAAAAAAAATATTTAGTATATTTTATGTAAGTAATAAAAATCATAAGATTGGACTGCAATATCTTAGATCAATTAACTTTTTCAAAATTTGTTAAATTGAAATACATATTCGTTCTTTTATTATCCCGTCAAGTGCAGCATCTAAAGAGGATTTAGGTAAAATTCTTTATTAGCCTAATTTGTTGTTTAACTTCTCTAGAGATTTTAGAATTATATATGTATATGGAGCAACCGATATTTCTTTTATATAATGCATAATCATTTGCCGCTAGTATTGCTGCATATTGAACATGAAATTTAGCTAGGATTATGCTAAAAATTAGACATAGAATGAAAATGAAAAAAATAATTGTGAAATTAGTTGTTACAATTAAGATCTGCCATTAAAATGCATTTGAATAATATTTTGTCGCGAATATTATCTCACAGCAGCTTCAACGCAATTAACAAAATCATAAAAAATAATAAAAATCGAGCAATTTTATATGCAAAGATATATACAGCTTGGCTATATTTTTATCTTCCATCCAAACGCATGTACTTATATACTATCATTAACATTATCATAATGTGCATGATTTTAAACGATTTGTTTGTGCACAAGCATATCTATAACGTGTGTTTAGAATTTCCTATGTAAAAACTTTATTTTAATAAATATGTAATTCAAATTAACAGTTCAAATTACGCAATTTTAATATTAAAATGCATTTAATAAATATTAATTCTTACCATTAGTAATTTAATGCGCTTCTATTTTTTACAGACTTGGTAGATGAAATTTTCCACGCAAATCAAAAATTTTATTATAATATCACGGTATAATAATATTCACATTTGTGTGATAGCTGGAATTGATCGTCCAACAAGAGCAGTGTCGTTTCGAAGTGATCGAGGATCTAGAACTTTCCCATCATTAGAACTAGACACGGTGGTCGAAGAACGATCGGATCCTGAACAAAGTACTGCATTGGAACTAAGTAGTCCGGATTAGCATTCAGTTTTGGTACCGCTTAGGTAAGATTCTTTATTATTGTATTGTATATTGTAATAAGAACATTTTATTCGTATTTCTGTAAACTAAACGAGAGGTAAAAGGATTATATGTTTTTTTATGACATAATCACTAACAATAAAGTTTTTGTTTTTCATTGATTTGTCTTCAGAAAATTTCTAACATGTTCCTACATTATTGATACGATATCTTTGTTTCAAGTTGTTATCTTTTGAATGTATATTTATGTATCATAAATTATTTATATGAAAAAAATGAATATGAAAATAAAAATTGTTTATTATTATTCGCAGGTCTCCTCGACCATCGAAATCGGTACCACTACCCGTGGATCACAGCCCTTTATGGACAGCATTAACACACGCTAACGCGGTATCCTCAGCTCTTGGAGATACCTAGCAGGAAGTCGAAGAGGGCGGCTATATCGAAGCTCTCGTTCTTGATTTACCTATAATCTATTAAAAGAACTTATAATAAAATAAACATTATGTGAAATTAGCAAAAAGGAATGAGATTGATCTCATTTACTTTCAAAAAACTGAAAAATTATAAAATTTATCGTAAAAAGTGCCGCGATATTAAATAATATTAAGTATTAAAGAGACAATTATATAATAGAAATCTTATCTTTACAAAGAAATTTTGCACACATATTTATTCAAAATTAATGAATAAATTTTTATACTGATAAATTGTGCAACATTCTATTGACAGATCGCTTTTTACATCATGAAAAATTCCTAATGAAATAATATACACTGTGTCATATTACATGTAAATAAGGATTTGTTAATATAATGTACAAATACAAATACAAATCATAATGTGTAAATAAATTGCTTAAAAACCATCATATTGACATATTGTATAACGCTACATTCAATTTTTATGAAATTCATGAAATAACATATTATACATATTAAAATTAATTTTCATATTATTATTATTAAATAACAATGTAGATATATCACATAAGTAAGACAATTATGTATCATAAAATTCAATTTATGTAAAAATAATTCCATTGTATTCTGACGCGAATAATATTATATATTAGTAAAAACTTGTTCTAATGATTATGCAAATAATATTTATGCATATTTTCGACTGCCTTCGATATAAAAAAATTTAATCAAATTATAGAAATAAAATTGAAAATGATTTATATATAATCTTTTATGTCATATTTAAAATCCAGGTATTATTCGTCCCTTTTTAGCTGCTTTTTTTAATTTATTTATCTTCTTTTCTTTCTTTCTTTTCATAATATTATCTTGTCGTTTTTCTTGCCTTTCTCGAATTCCTTTTTGAACATTTTCTAACCTAGATTCCCATTTTTTAGCACTCCGTTTTTTTTTATCATCTTTTCTTTTCAATGTTTTTTTAAGTAAATCTGGATCATTTTTCACCTGTCAAAAATATATGCATAGACACAATATTAAATATTTTAATAATTATTTATTTAAGTATTTCTTTGTTACCTTTTCACCGCTAGCTTTCGCTAAAACAGACTTCCATATGTCTTTTTCTTTAATTTCTTCTACTTTTTCCTTTTCACCTAATTGTTCCATTTCTTTTAATTTTTCTTGTTTTTGTTTCACCTCGAGTAACATTCTTTTTGCATCTTTCTTAGGCGGTTTTTTTTTGTTCCAATTTCAGAAAAATCAAATTTGCTAAATACCATTTTACCTTCTGAATTAAACACTGGTTTTGGTCGTGGAATCTTTGGTATTTCATTATCTTCTTTTTTAATTTTAGATAAATCAGCTACATTTTGCTCTATTTTTACTAAACTTTTTTGCATTATTCGTTCTTTTTTCTTTGACATCTTTTTTATTTTAGTTTTCAAATTCTTTTTTAATTGCTTTTCTTTGTATCCTAATCGTTTAATATTCTTTAATCCTTCCAATTTAGCATGCAATTCTTCAAATGTATGTGCTCTTTTTGCTTTTCCAATTAAATTTGGAAAGATATTGTCTATAAAATAGAAAACAGAAAATTTAAAGCAAGCTTATTAATTGAGTAAATTAGATTATTTTCTAAAAGTAATAAATAGTAGAAACCTCCTGATATTTTTTTTTTATTATATGTCACTAATTTATCTTCCTTATCTGAACTAAAAAAAATTATTTTTTATTATTATTGCAAATTTTATAAGTATTTATAAGATTATATTATTTTTTTATATTTATACCTAGCTCAGACATAGGCAATGGCATTTTAGTAAATATATTCAAAATATATTCATTTTCTTGCAGCAATAATTGCCTCACATAATTTTTATCAAATGAATTTGACATTTTTAACTGCATACTTCTAGAAACACACGTACGTTATGTTAAAATATAAATTTAATATCACGAAATAAACTACAAGCTACAAACACACTCTTAACTTTTAAAAACTACAAATATAGGTTAGAAATTACAATCTAACGCGCAAACTCAAAGATAGGATCTTACAAATTTACCAAAGATAATTTCATATATTTCTCTTCATTATAAAAATACAAAGAGTATAAATTTTATTTTAAAAAGATTCTAAAATAAATTAATTATTCATAAATATATATTATAAAATTTTTATTGTAAAAAAATACATAAATTTTGTAAATTTTATACAAAAAGTAACATTATTGTAAATAAATTATTTACATTTGTGAATTATACAAATAACGAATAACTTAAATTGTAAAGAATATTTTTTTGCAAGCATACAAAAATTATTAATGTTATTATATATATTATATATTGATATTGTTTCGTGATTTAATGTGATTTAAAAAATTATTATTAGTTATGAATACTAAAGAAATATCAAAAAAAAATAATAATTCACATATATTTATATAATACAAAAATAATATTATAAATTTATTTCAATATTTATTAAATGATCATAATAATTGTAAAATCAAAAAAAAAAAAAACATATATATATATATATATATATATATATAT